TTTTCGCTTCTACACCCACCACGGATCTTCGGTTCTCGCAAAAAATTGAATTCCTTCAGGCGATACGAGCTATTGCACGAACCCCCCCCCCTCCTTGCTGGATTAGACCCAGGAATTTTGATATAAACACAGATTATGCAGTGTTTTTGTGCTTTAAGCTCACTCAGAAGACTTCTTACGTGTTCGCGATCACATTCGAGCAAATGACAATGTAATAAGAGAAGTGAAGAAGTAATCAACCCACGTAATTGCACAGGTACACCAAAATGAATGAACTCAGCTGAAAGGCGAGTTTGAAGTTGAGCAACAGTTTGACTTGAAGCTGATAAAGGACTGAGATAAGTTTGAAATCGCGACCGGTTGAGTGCAGTGTGTCTGGGTGGCCGACAAGTTGATCTGTAGGTGGTCGAGTGCGCACAGGTGGTTGTGCAGATTCCGGTGACACACACACGAAAACTCTGCTCGTCTGTCTCTGACCACCTTCATTCAACACAGCGTGTGTGTCAGAGACGCAGAGGTGGCTCGGTCGTCGTCCGCTCCGTTCACGGTCGTCTCTCTCTCGCTCTCTCGCTCTGTCTAATTCTATCTTTTGCGCTCACCGCTCCCAACATTTCTGTTATCCACATATCTACTAATTGAAGTATCCTCGATTCCTCTACAAATGGCCGAAGACCCGGAAATCTCAAAAAGGCGGCATGAACAGCAACAATTACGGAAACAGCTGCATGGTAAGTTAAGATGTTTGCTATAATTAGATTCATCGTCATGTTCCATAAAGATTTTTCGTTATTTTGCACCTTTTCTTTCTATTTCTATAAGTTTCTCATAGATCCGTGTAATCTGATTGGTTTGAGCTAGTCCTACTATACAACTTTTTCATGGTATACGTGATAAGATTCCCCATGTAAGTTTTTCAGAAGTATTCGGGCCGTTTGATCAGTTCTGTGAATATGTGGCTGGGACGACTAGTGCCGGTTCAAGTGGTATCATGCGTCACGGAGTAGTGCAAGTGAGTACAACTAATCAGGTCTTAAGCGTGAACATCTGCAGCGCGCGTCGTCCGGGTGCGACAGCCAGGCGGCGATCTTGGCCGATCGTTGTGCACCTTGCAGTAGATATCATGCGTTTCATCGATAGAACGACGATAGTCGATGAGAACTGATGATAGGTGAGAAAAGAAATCAGTGCATGAAAGACTCAATTGATACCTTCAGCTCAAAAGTGCAGTTTCACTCATTTACCATCTTACAAATCGATTTGGGTTCATTCTAGCAAGGAGGGGCATTGCAGTGCACACTCAGCTATAATGCCAATTTGATCCTTTAAAGTTACGAACTGCTATTATGAGCCGTATCGATCCTTCCGCCAGGCTGGGGGGAATAGATCCCCTCAAATTCATTGATTTTCAACAACACAGTTTCCTTACTCTCAGTATAAGTTTACTTCCACACACATCCATACATTTAAACTAGGCCCCTTTTTAGGGCGATTCTTGTTAGAAAAACGATGAAAATTCAATAGGATTCTTCTTCTCCTAGCCTGGGGAAGGATTGGATTTGGCTCCGCTTCATTCGTTCATTATTTTTTGAGTTTGTTTGTATAATGTATGTGTTCTTGTGTTTTATTTCATAAACGTTTACGAAAAGTAATATTCACCTGGTGAGCAGCTGGGACTGAGCCTTGGAGGGGAGAAGTCCTTCCGGAGAAAGCAAAGTTGCTTACGAAGCCTGGGGTTTCCCCTCCCTTCTAAGGCTCAGTCCTAATCCTTTACACTGAGAAAATGCTATCCGTCGTTTTGTACGTTGAGCGCTCTGAACCGCATACCCAATCTCAATGGAAGAGACCCTTCGACGTTTTGTAGTAAACATCCTGAAAACCATACCATCCTCAATTACACCATATGGCGAATATGAACCCGAACGATGCTTCATGCGGACTTTTTATTGCATTTTATTTCAGAAATGAAAAATGCTACTGATTATGCTCTAAATTTTAAAAAATCTTTCGTGATCATCGTGAAATTCAGTTGTATGATATAGTTTTCTTTCAATTGAACCACGATATTGATTCCATGTAAAGCATTATGAAGACATGCTCACCGTTCATATTATTTTGTTTTGGAACTAGCCATGATAGGTAAACATTTTTAATCAACAGAGGTACCTAATAATTCTTTGATGTATCCTTGAAATTACATGGTGATATTGTATTGTGTGCAGAAGAACCACTCCAAGTCGTTAGACTTCAGGCGATAACACCGTAAGTAGGCTGCGGTCATAGTTCGCGATTCTGCAGTTGCAAGATCGCGACGCATAAGATAGGCGATGCGGTCTTGGACGTGTTTCTTCTGTCGCTTCACTTCGCTGTTCCTTCCTCTTTCTTCATCGTCGCCTTTCTTCATTTTCTTCCACTACCGCAATTATCCTATGAGTTTCATCCAGTAAGGAGCGGGACAGTTCATATCGCCCATAATAATCCGTTTTTCGCAAGGGAAGGAAGCTCTGGGGTGGGCGTAAAAGCGGAAGCGAAATGGTTCACACGCTCTAGAGCTTCATTAACATGCAAAAGTTGAAATCTCCGTAGGCAGCAGCAACCGTCGCACTAAATGCAACCTTATTGGATGGTTCTTCTTACTGATTTGTGCCCATTATGCAAGAAGTACGTAAACGTCGTCATTTAAAAAATACGGGCACCTTAGATAAAGAAGTGGCCCAGTAGTTGCGAGCACGAGCACTGAGTCACACTCGACCTCATATGTAACTTGCACCACAAATTCGAGACCGATTTCTCGTCGTCACCAAAGTTTCTATAAATAGTCTACCACCTCTACCATAATGCAGCCTTCAACAAATCGATAATCAACCCAAGCGTCGGGTGCACGACAAGCTCACCCTTAAGAACGAGATAATAACTTTATAATAAAGCACATGAAACATCAGCCAAAAACCAATAGGTTCAGGAAAACTGCCAATAATCCGAAAGAGACGAAAAAACGATAAACTTGGTCTGTCATCAAGTAATATGTTATTCTGTACAGCGTAAAGACACGAGAAAATTAGCTGAATAACTATAAAAAAGTTAATGTGATTAAATCAAATAATATAATTTAATCAGAAAGCCTAAATTTCAATACTACAGCACCCAACAAATAATCTAGCTAAAATGCACTTAAAGACTTGTCGTTCTGAAACCTCTGAGCTCCACTAAAACAACGCTCCGACCCAGATTGCTTGAGACCCGTCCGTCACTTGTGGTCTGATAAGTCTGCCCCAAGACGTCCTTTTCTTGACAGGAGGGTATCTATTCATTTCCGAGCGCAAGTGACCCATAAACGTTTGCAGAGTATGAGCGCGGCCTAATAGTACGAGACCTCATGCGTTCTATTTCTTACTGGCTCTACACCTCTCAAAAAGTGCTGTTTCCTAATTTCAGTCTAACTGCGCCGCGTTCATAGTTTGCGTCTGCAAAGAATAGGATAGTAGTAGAGTAGGGTATCTCGCTGAAAAGATCGGAATTGCTGGAGCATTGTTGGTAGGCGTCTTCAGGCGGATCGAACAGTATGTATCTAATAATTTCAGTGTCCTAATCATCCTAATCTTCTGCTATTGTAGTATCGTAATCCACTGGTTTCCAACCATTTCAATCGATATTTATCGAATCTTTTCAGCGAACTCTCCTGATTGGCTATATCCTAATCTCCCTGTCAATGCACATCTTCATTGCCGTACGGTCCCAACCAACGCATTTGCAACTGTGAACGCGTTCTAACGCAGACTAGCGGAAGCGCATGTTTCTGTGTTGACCACTTCTTTCTATCCGAAAGCAAGTGACTTCTCATTAATCTTCTTAGCCTTCTCTTACTCTGGAGCTATTTTTCTGTGCTATGAGCTGCCGTATGTGTCACAAGGTCGCTAGGCGTTGTGGGCTGCCCACCACTGAAGCAGACCCAAAACATCATGGGGAGGACATGCGCACTTCCTGTTCAGTTATCATACACTCCGATCGATAATATTCTTAGGTAATTTTAGGTAATATGAGAATAAATCACAATTTGTAACTCGATTATAACACTGAAATGAATAGAAAGTTTTTTTTGATGTGTCACTGCTTAAAAAATCGTCGATCTTCAATACCACCGTCTTTCAGCTCCCAACTACACCGTTGACCCCATCCGCACGATCTACTCTGCCAACCACTTCATCATCGGCCAGCTCTTCAACTGCTCCTCAACAGTCAACACAACAGCTGTTGATGGTGAGTTCTCTTCTTTCCACCCTTGTTTCCTTATTTTCTCGAAGCGTTCTGGCTCGTCCTTGGTACATTGAGTTTGTGTACACATCAGTTTTTGGCAACCCATCCAAAGCCGATCGCGATAAATCCACTTTTCACTAACGGCTCTTTAATCATGTATTGATTTATGTATTTTAAAAGGCTTTTTTTCTACGACGACATGAATGGTAGAATGTCTTGCTTACTGAACAATTGAAAAGTGTGTGAAAGTTAACAATTCCTTTCCTTTTCTATCTCTCATATTACCCTTCATTTTAATGGCAGGATGTGAAGGCTATTCCATTGTTATCACAAAAGGGCATGGAGTATACGTGTTCATGCACTGTGTCAAGTACAAGGGTGACATGGTATTTTGGATGAGTCGGGATGTTTTTCATTATCAAACAAATTTTGTTACTGATAAAGTTATAAACTATTCTTATCACCCATGTTCTACGTTTCTTGACCCTTCCTCCTCATTTCCAGTAACAATCATTTAGCAAGCGGTCCATGTATAGTTCCCTCCCAGGTGTTTTTAAAAATTTCTTGACTTAGAAAACTGATTTTCTTGATTGGTGCTTGATCCAATTTTTTATCATTATATCTCTTGATGATTCATTTCGACCTGCTTTCAGAGTATGCAAAATCTAGTCACGTCCCCTATTCAGCCACTTCAAGGATTACCCTTCTCGTGTAATCGGGTAAGGAAAACGTCATTATAAATGCCTTTGCCTTTCGCTTTTATTTTACTTCTTGCCTCTGACCTGTTAAAATTTGTTCCTTCACCTGCTTGTCTCTTTGCCTTGCTGTACTCAGAATTTCATTGACATCAAGTGACCTACTATAGAGTTTATTCAGTAAGTAGCGACTGATGAAGTAAACAATATATGAGCTGGTAGACGGAAAACCGAGAACTGACAAACTGTCGAAAAGTTGTCTACGCTATGTGGGCATCCTTCAGTGCATGCTGGCGTCTATGCGCACAGGGAAGCTCCCATTCTGGAGAGGCTGCTGCACATCAACAGCCTTACGTGACTGCGTTTCTACTCTGACGATTACTAATAATGCATTGACAACTAGTTATCTGCTAGACAGTTTCATTGACCTTAGGCTGCGGACAAGATGGAAGTGAAATAACCAGTTCCGTTAGCAGGGATTTAGCTTGAAAGCAGCAGTTACCCTACAAAGCAGCGGATTGAATGGTACAAATCATTACTAACTTTCAAATAAATCAAGAACAAAACAGATCTTTAACGAGCGAGCGATCTGGCATGACCTCAGATTCTATGTCATGGTAAATTTTCATTTTCGCGACTTCAAGGTTAACTGAGTTTTTTCTTGAAGGTTCATAATTTTAGTCAATGTCGGAATAAGTTTCGCAGACCTTGAAAACTTAATCGAGTCAAAGTGAGAATAAAAAGACTGCGTCTTCTTCAGGACTATTTGAACACTGCTCCATCTTCTACCCACAGTGCTCCAGATACAGACAACTCTGCAAAGAAAGGGAAAAGGCACAGGGCATTGGATAGTGATTCTGAAGTGGATAGAGACAAGAGAAGACGTCGAAACGAGGAAGTCAGGGTTAGTAGAGTGTGTATCAAAGGTGTTATTCTTCACTTCTCTTTTGATTCCATTCATTCTAATGAGTTGGAGGGCCTTCGTCAAAGATTTTGTAGTACACTCTAACGAGTGCGGTTCATGTGTGGGTTTGAATGGCGCGTGGAAGAAGTGGAGGGCCTTCGCCAGAGATTTGGAAGTACCGTTTCAGATTCACGGTTGGTTGGTGCGGTTTGAACAGCGCATGGAAAAGCCAGGGGGCTTCTGTCAGATCAGGTAAAAATCATGAGGAGCCAATAAAACGAGCTGCACAACTATCGTAAGCTATTGAGTAGGTGGTGCCTTTTTTTGAGATGTTTCATACAGCAGTTGCTCCTTACCGAAAATTTTGCTTTTTACCCAAGTTTATTGGATAATAAATGGGTGGTGATAGTGAAAAAGCTTCGTTACCGGTAAATAAGTGCTAACTCCTGCTAACTTGCCTTTTTAATTAGTTATCATGTTGTTTATTCCTGTACGGCGCTTATTTTAAGACGTCCGTGGCTCCTAGCACCAGTCGCTCTAATCCGCAGTCGTCGAATTCTGACAGCATTCGAACGTTGTTCGGAAACGATGTCGAAAGAAAGGTAAATGTTTCCACTTTTCTACGGCAGGACTCCTATTGATTTTTATTTCTAGGACTCCCGATTAAGGCTATATAGGCCTGATTCGGGCGTACACTCGGCAGAAAACGATCCAGGCGACGAGATACGATGTTCATTCTGCTCAAAATATCATTAATTTAATAACCAAGTCAGTTACATTTCGTTGTGACTTATTAGATTTATCATCCGTTTTGGTTGCATTACTTGTGACGTATGTCCATTTTCTTCAGATTGTCCCCACCCCTTTCGCCAATAAAGCAACGACCTTCTGACAAGAAGGCAGAAAGAGAACGCAAGGAAATGGAGACCAAAGAGAAGGTAAGCAGAGTAAAAGGAATAACTGATGCTCGAAACCATTTATTCTGCGTTTTTTTACATCTATTTTTTATTATTGTTCAGGAAAGGATCGAAGCACAAAGGAGAGAAGAGGAAAAGAGAAAAGAAGAAAGAGAGCGTTTGGAGAGGGAACAAGCTGAACGCGAAGAACGATTGAAAAATGAACGTATGGAACATGAAAGAAAGGAACGAGAACGAGAGGAGAAGCAGCGAAGGGCGAAGGAGCGCGAGGAAAAGGAGCGCCGAGACAGAGAACGTGAAGAAAAGGAGCGAGAAGACAAGGAAAGAAAAGAGAAGGAGCGGGAAGAGAAGATCAAACGTGAAAAAGATCAGGAAGAGAAGCTTCGCAAGGACAAGGAGGACGAAAAACTTCGGCGGGATAAAGAGAGGAAAAGAGGAAGGAAAGGGATCGACATTCCAATGAAAAACGATCTAAAGATTCTGAGCGAAAGGATAGACCAAGTGAACGATCGGATAAGGTGAAGACAGGAGATGGCGAACGGCAGAAGCCCACGGAAAATGAGCACAAGTCTGATGAACACGTGAGTAAATATAATATTTATTTCCAATACCAACTTTTAAGCTTTTTCTTGCACAGTCCGAAATTTGACGTTTCAAACTATCAGTGAATTTAATCGTGGTGTCATTTTTCGAACCGTTCATTCTTGTTTTGAAGTTATGAAATTTGAATCATTGTTTACATTGTATCTGCATCTTATACAGCCTCCAGCACAATGAGAAGCGGAAATTTAGCAGTAACGTATCTTTGAATTTTCACTTCTGATTTCTTTGGCTTGAAATCATACCACTTTGTCGCACCACTTTTTTTATAATTGATCCCATTTGTTTATTTAGGAATCTCTGCCAAATAATTTTTTATTCTTAGCCGTGGATTTAGTTCATGGCATACTTCAATAGCAGTTGAAAAATGACGTGGATTTGAAAGCTTTTTTCGATTAAGGACGTAACGTCACGTACGGATTGGCTTTTTACGCCGTGAGATCCTAAAAGGTTGGGATCGTTCCAAATTAAATCAACTCATGGAGATTGGTAGAAGAACTGGTCGAATGAAGGTAGGATGTTTTTGTCACGTCATTCTGTTCCAGTGGAGTATTGTTTCAACCACAGGAAGAGCGAAAAGAGGACAGGAAGGAGGAGAGGAAGGAGGATCGAAAAGATAGGAGCGATAATAATGCCGAGAAACGCAAGGATAGGAAAGAAAAGGATAGGAAGACGAAGGACAAACCTGTTGATGAGTTGGACGCTTTGAGACGGGAAAAGAGTCCAGCACAAAAAGCAGTCCGGTGAGTAGGAATAATGCTTTTTTCTCGTTCTTTGACTGCAAAACTGCTTTCGGTCATTGTTAATGCAACGTGTTTTTAGTGCATGCCACGTGCATCCAGCTCTCAGTCGCATGAAGGCGGTGAACATTCTCAAAATCACCGCCCGTCATCAGTCGTCGGCAGCCATCCTTCACGGAACAGTTTCGAGTGTGCAGCGCCGGAATGCGTACCAACGAAACCTTCGCGTCCAGTGAAACCAGAAGAGGTGAGCATTTGAAATGTTATTTTACGATTTCTATCAGTCATATTAGGGAAAATCCCGAAAACCGGACAAGGTGACGCGCTAGCGTGAGTCCAGATTGATTAGTCTCCTTAAGTATAATAAAGAACCAAGGAGCCCATGAATGCTGTTATTTCTAGAGTGACAAAGTCAACAAAATGTTATTCTACCTCGACACATCTGTATATTTCCTTTTATCGGCAAAGCATTTCACGTCAGCAGACTCACCAGAGGTTCGCGGCAACCGCCAGTATTCAATCATTCGCGACACGAATGATCTGCTCAAGTTGGTTCTGCTCTATTTTCTAACTCTAGCATTCATTTTTGACTTAATACCGTATTTTTGAGTGCATTCGTTCCACCACCTTATTTTTTGTTAGGGCTATCTTTTGCTACGCTATTGCTAATTCTTTGATTTTCTCATTTTTATGCAGTGGTTTCTTACGCGCTACTGTAATGAATTTATAGTACTGTTTTGATTTCTGAAGTACATTTTATGTTGTATTATGTGATTTATCGCTCTGTTCTCTGTTATTCCTTTTACCCTGACGCTCTACAGTTCATTATCACTGTTCATTACTTAGCTACTGTTATCCCGTTCTTGTAAAAAATATCCTTCTCTCAAAGGGGGCTTTGCTATTTCATCAAAAGGCTGCATTCATGGTAAAGGTGGTAACTTCTACAAACTTTGGCAGTTCCACAAACTAGAACCACATTCACTATATCGCTGTATTTTACATGACTAGATAACACTAAAGTACAGGGTGTCCCAAATTGCTTGCGCATGTTTATTGCATGCCCTTTCGAACATTCTATGGAACGAATGGACGTTTGAGTCTAACACATATTACCTAACAACATAGCAAAACAACATGCTACACAGATTTTGAAATTGTCTCCACTGCACAGAATACAGGCTCGGAGTCGCTTCTTGCCCGTTAGGGCTCTCTCGTTGCACGCGGGTATTCTTTATGCATTTCTTCCCAGGCTTCCTTTGATGCTGCCTGCAATGATGCAGATTTGAAGGTTGAGCTCGGAATGCCTTGCTCTTAATCACGGATCAGACTTAGAGTTCAATGATTAAGATTAGGGGAGCGATAAGGCTATTCCTCGCGGCGGACCGACTCGGCCAGCTCACAGCTTCCACCTGTCTATGAACGAGCTTCGTCTCCGTGGGCTGAAGCGCTGTCATGCGTGGAAGCAATAACGGGCTTTGCTCAAGGATGGGAGTTTTGACAAGCATCAAACGTCCACAGTGTTGCACGTTACATTGCCATCTTCACACATGAATTGTTAGAGGAAAACCACGGCGTTCACCTTGAGCCGCCTCGCCCAAATCTGTGTTAGTGATGCGGAAACAAAACAGACACGGAAGCAGGGACGGATGCGCACAAAATCGGGCCTGAGCAGTATGGGTTAGCCGTTCTTCCAGCAATCTTTCCTCGTGAGATGGCACTCCCGATATTTCCAGTAAGAATGTGGTCGTTTTGACGACTCAACACCGGCTCCACAGTGGGCATGTACTCGGCAGGAAAAACGATCGAGAGTTGCGTGTCGGCAGTGAAGCGCGCTAGTGACCTTCCAACTTTTTGGCCCCTCTGCTGCTTGTTGCTGCACGAAAGGAACTGGCACTTCTGCATGTGATAGGACCGGCAATGCAGCTTTCCTTGACAATGCGCCCCATCGATGACTTCGATACATTCAGCGATCTCCCCATCCTTCTGATGGAGCACCGTGGATTGCTAACCAACCATTTTAATCATTCTGTCCGTGGGAACGCTGACCATACTTCCTCGCCCAGACTTGTTAACGAATGTTTCTACTCTCCTGCATCGTTCGACGACCATCTAATCAGTCTTGAGGGGAAACACAAGAAATTAAGTGATGTCCTTCGATGCAGTCCCTTCCTCAGGCATGTGACTGATCGCAGGTCGCATTGGATCACCTCTTGCCATCTCGGAGATACTGGCAGTTTTACCCCAATAACGATGCAGTTCACAAGAGAACCTCTCTGCACAACTAATTAGCAGCGCGAAAAATGAAAATAATCGATACACCTTTTCTAGTGAATTTTTGAATTTTGGCGCAAGTAATTTTGGGACACCCTGTAGATTTAATTCGCGTGCGCTGGTAAGCTTGGTGGCGGTGCATCAGTTGTGTTTGCATGGTTTTCAAAGTATTGATTGACCACACCCTGAAGGCAATGATAAGTTTAGTGATTGTAGATAGGTGAGAATGAAGGCGGATTTTGAATTTATCCAAACTAAAATACGAGAGGGCTGCTTGTTTCTAACTGTGCCGCAAGTCTCTCATTTTTTCAACATCCTTATTTTCTGTGAGTCAAAGTTTTCTATTATTGCTTTTTTTCATTTCAGGAGAGTGACTCACGCTTTTTGTCAAATATCAGAAGGATGCTCCCCTTGGCATATGCATATGTTATCTCGAATACGCAATCTCAGTTCACGCTGTCAAGCCTGTTTATTGTATCACATGTACAATTTTAGATCTCATGTGAGAGTCCCCCTTATTTCGATTTTCCATTGTTACCTTTGACAAGCTATTTTTTCAGAATGCGATAAAGTCGTACGGCGTGTTGGTTAACATGGAAACACAGATCCAGGAAGAAAGACATCAGGCACAGAATGGAGCTTCAGCCACTACCTCATCTTCGCCCGGTAGTAGCGTTCACTCTAATTCGAACCAGTCTATTACTTATGTGGGTTTTTTAGTGTTTTAAGAATTTGATCTTTCTCGCAGATTGATGAGCTGTCCTTAGTCTGACAGCATATTTACTTTCAGCGGTTGAGGGAGCTTGATGTGATTTCATAGCAGAGGTGTTAGTCTTGTGCCACTCTTGCTAATTAGCTAGGAAATGGCTGCAGCCGTGTTGCGTCACGAATTAGAATGAAAGCGTTTCAGAGCTCCTCCGAGTAAAAGGTTCTATTGGCTACGAACTGCGTTGGGTTGTTTTAAAACTTGACATATTTGTCATTGAGTTTCACGAGGGTGCTAATAGCCGCTAATCGGTTCTTTACACTGAACTAGGAGTGTTAGTAAGCTGCGCTAATTATACCCTCGAAGCTAAGCAGAGTGAGTGAGTGGGCTTAACATAGTTAATAAAACTCCCTAGAATGGGTAGAGCCGGTTATTTAGATGATGCAATGCGATCCTCCATTATTTATCACCCTTTTTACGCGCAAGCGTTTTCCTCTGCTCTTGCTGCTAATGTTCGAATCATGTATGTAGTTTTTGCCCCCCCCCCCCCGCAACCCCAAGTTTCAAGGTTGCCTGCCTATGGAATGTCTGTGAATTTCGCAGCTCATGACTCATTTGTGTGAAGGCCAATGATGCCGAATTTTGGATGCGTTTCTGACAACATGTCCATTTAGGTGACAATGCCCAGCAAAGTTTACGACGTGCAGAAACAACAGTTGAAGACACTTCATCACCTGATGTGGTCCCATCGAGTCTGGCAGGATGCGCTAAACGTGCTGATATTAGCAGTTTGGATATGGCATTTATTTCTGGGTGAGTTGGTTTTTAATTCATTCGCGAAATACCGCTATTGTTTTTCTAATCCTAACGAAGGGTTTATTTATTGAAGTTGAGGCTCTAAGCAATAGATGCGATGCCTAAATCTTTGTTTTCATTTGTTTTTCCTTACTTTGTTGTTACCGCCTGACTAGACTCTTCATGAGCTACCTGTCAGAAAGCAGGGTACCCATCCCGTGTACTTGATCTACCTGCTGTCTGCAATCTATAATTTCAGCGAGGTTCATTGATGTACGAGAGTAACAGACCTCACGCGTTTGCACTTAAAGGAATCTTCCACGGACCATGGACCAGTGGGCGGGACCGGAAGTTTTTGTGACGAAATGCATGGTAGGTACGGATCCACGTGTCGAACGCACGAACGTGAACAGGATTCACTTCAAACCTTCCCATGAACGTGGATCCGTACCTACCATGCATTTCGTCGCAAAACCACTTCCGGTCCCGCCCACTGGTCCATGGTCCGTGGAAGATTCCTTTAAAGGAAGGCCTTCCGACTCCGAAGCGGCTAATCGAGGCCTAGGGCAAACCAGACACGTTTACCCTCAGTACATATGAATTCTACGTGAGCTCCACAGCAACTTTACGGAATTCCACCGTTCTACTTTCACCGTTGCACAAGGATGGACATCAATGAATGAAGAATTGCTTTGACAAGGGGCTCTTCCTCGCCCGAACATTTCACCACCACATTAGAACGTCCATGACGTGAGATGAAATGGGGCGAACCATTGGAAGGCTATGAATGGTTTGTGTAAGGAGTTTGTTTTGTCCTTCTACGTTCAAACAAAAGATACTACTTCGACCATCCAGCTTCGTCGCACTTAGCCGGGAAAAGAGCGATGAACGACCCAGCTCTGGCGCTGAGCAGGGGTAAACGAGCGCTGCGGGAGCATGTAAGGAATTCTGGGGAGTAGTGAAGAAAACAAAGAACTGGCGAGGATCGGCTTCCATTACTGAGTCTCATGGCTTCTAAGTTCGTCCTGCCTAATGTTGAGTCTCAAAAACCTACTCTGCGAAAGGAGGAGGAATGCGGTCAGCGTTGTTGAACGCGTTCAGAGAGATCGATGCTTGCATTGTCCTTTACCACAAAAACAGAAAGGAATACCAACTTTCGAACTTCGTCAACGATCGAGGATCTGAAACACTGCCGTTTTCGTGGAGAAATCGAAGAATTGCTGCCTCTGACATGTCATGCGATTGTGTGATGACCGCTGGACCAGAGTGGTTACCTACTGGATTTCGCGAGACGTCAAACGGATCCTAGCGGCCCTCTTGCATGCAACGGGGACGAATGGAGGCGTTACTGGCCTGCTCGAAGGACTTCATGGTCAACGGGATGACAGGTGATGTTTTGTTAACTGACTTTTATAAAAAGCTGTGTTTGAGTTTTCTTACTTCCTTTTTTTCCTTACTTCCTAATGTGTCCTTTTCTTAATTTTTGTAGTGTTCAAATCAATTAGAGGTAGTCGTGCACAACAGCTATTATGGTTTTTTTCTAGATTGGAAAAGGTGTGTGGTCAGCTGTTTCTGGACGCTCCACTTGAAAAAATGTGTGCCTATATGCTAACTGCTATTGCTTGGCTACGTGCTGAGTACGAGAGGGAAAAAGTTCGTGCTCCACCTCCGATAGCAAAACGCGCCGGTGGTGTTTCCTAAGAAGACCACCGCGTGAAGCCATCTGCTGTAAACTACTGTAATTGTTCCTGTCGACAAGGATTTATTCATTCGCTAGTTGTTCACTAGCAATGTATTTAGTGGATAGCCGCTGGTGTTTCATGTCAGGTATATAATTTTCTTTCATGTGTAGAAATATAGCCGTACATTTTTCTTTTCTCATTAGCTCCACGTATCAATAGTTTGGGTCGTATACGTTTAAATATCATCCAGTCGATTACGGTTCATATTTATCGTCAGTTGGTAGTGATCCGCATTTGTACCCTAAGAATGAATTTGTATTTGATAGTTTCGCTTTTTGACAACCAAATTTCTCTTATTTGTGCTAGTCGTCTAGATGTTTTTTGTAGTCATTTCTCTATTTATTCTAGTGATTTAACTACGTACTATCATAGCATCCAGTGTGTGTCCTTTGGCTGGGATTGTCCAGGGTAGCTAGCGTAAGTCGCCGACGCCCTTACGGTAGTCGCAGCTGAAATGTGCGTGTAGATAGAGATGTGCATTTGCGGTTTTAATTCTACCTAGTCAAAAAATTTAGGAAAAAATCTTTTTGAGAGAGATTCTCGAGTCTTGGTTGATAACATTCAGTTCTCCTTAGTTAGTCCCATGTTCTGCGATTTCCTTCAGCTTTGCGTTATATTTTGCATCCGAGGGGGAATTGTGACCTATTCCCTGAGTTAATCTTTCTGTCTATTTTCAATCAGAAAATATCAGAGGGTATTCAAAATTCAGGTTTGTTTCTGGTACTCCTCGTGACTGCACATCAGATGATCGGTTGAACATCTTTTGAAGTGACCGTAGGCGTCTTAGGATGGCTACCTTGGGTAAAACCACCCGTATGATATACACTGTACATACCAATTCGAGTTCGCGTTCGTTCACCTCATTCGGCTACCCTGTGCTGTGTTTTGCAGTCGATTCGTCTGGCTGTATAGCATGCATCTTCTGTGTTGTTAGCCAAGTTCATGACCCTCGTATAGCTTCTGTTTGTGTCTAGGCGTGATCGTAGTTAGACGCTTGGGAATGTGTGCTGCTCCTTATCCTGCCATCACTGGGCCGCTCTAAATTTTCAGGAGATGTAGAAACATTCGTTCGCTATCTGTCGTACCCTGAACAATTTCTTTCATGTGTAATTTTTTTTGCTACTTATTTCGGCAGGAACACGTGTCGACGTTGTAGAGGGGTCCTGCTATGTGATATGTATTTTTTGTTTTTCCTTTTTTTAAAACCCAGTTGTGAAGTACAAGTGTTGCTCCGAATATATAGATCACATGTAGACAAGTGTAGATAACCTTGTCTGTTGCTGTGCAGAGAATATTGAGATGTCCTGGTAATGTTCTCCTTTTTTTCCTTGATTGACGCTCTGTTGTTATTTAATATTATTTTTGTTTTCAAAATGATTCTTTCCATTCACAGGTTCAACTTAGTGTTGTGCGTTGTTTCTGACGTGTCTTTTACTTATGTTCATTACTGTAACCGGTGACTATGGTGGTACGGTATTTGGTGTAAAATTGTCTAATGCATAAAAAAGAAATAAATACACATTTTTGACGCATATTGATCGCAGACTATAGTTTATATAGTTAGAGATATTTGGAAGTTGAGGTTAGAAGCACTAATAAGGCCGCGATCATACTCGGCGATTTAGGAGATTAGGCGATAATGGAAAAGGTGTGCATCGATTGATGAGTTGTTAGACTTGAATATTATGGGATTAGAAGAATGAGGGATTGCGCTGCAAAAAATAGAAATATGTTGATTTCAGTGAGAACTCGTTATCTCGTACTTTTTTCAATCGATATGCAATTAATCCCTTCAGATCTGCAAGCTCTTATTCTGTCGAGTATGAACGCGGCTCAAAGACTTTCAGGTTTGATCGATATCGATATAATGACCAGGATCTTGCTTTATTTCCTGGGATCGGGATATTTGAACAAACGAATTATTTATTGTTTATTTTGGATGTGTTGCTAGCTAGAAAGTCGAAGTAATGGCTAAGAATTTGGTTGAAGAACTTGGTCTGTAGGTTCGACTCCAACTTTAGGGATTAGCTTCGATGACATTCCTCCTTTCGCCAGCGACATGACCCACGCGAGTTTGGCATTTCGAGCTCGTCGTCTGAAATGAAAAAATATGGTGGTTCGATGAGTGATAATGAGGTCCGTCGAAATCCAGAGTTAACGTTGTTGCGCAATTTTGAAAATTTCACGACTTTCCTCTTTGAGGGGTCTCGTTACGACCCCCATCACCACCATCAGCATTGGAGACTCCCTCCCACTACGACTGCCTCTCCCCACCATTCTCACCATCACGGCTGTTTCTAAAGTAGTGTCGGATTCTAAACAGTCCTCATTTTTTTCCTCAAAATGGCCGTCGAGCAGGGAAGGGAGGGGCAGGGTAGCCTGAGGAAACGGATAATCCACTAATTTTCTCTACTTCCTGCTTCCTTCATGGAGTTCCCGGAAGAATCGACTCACAAACTACATAACGCACAAACCTCCTTCGTCTTACCGCCACGACCTCTCTAACTTCCAAAAAATCACGAACCCTCTTTTCTTGCACTTTTTGTCCTTCACCATCCTTCACCAACCCGAAACACGGCCACCCCTCCCTCCAAAAAAACCCTCAATAACTCAAATACACCCCCTAGTTGAGAACTGCGCAGCGCACGATTGACCCTATTCTATTCTTGCGCTTTACCAGAGTCCTTTCGATCAGTTGACAGACATCTAATCTTTTCGAGTCCTTCAATTCTCTCGAAATCTTTGGATGTTGACGTCGCCTTCAATGAGACTTCTAGTTATTTGTTGTTAATTTACTGTCGTATATGTGTATACGTGAAGTTGTGATTAGAAGGAATGCAGGACAACTTGCTGGTGTTTTCCCTATTCTTCCCTTCTTCAATATTGCGGAAAAACGAGTGTAACCCCCCCCCTCCGCTGAAGAAAATCCAAAGTTCCGTTTTCCCACGGTCTTCTTGTTGTTTAATTCTTCCAAGATTTCTCACCTGTTTTTAATTCGATACGGCACGTCCCCTTTTTCGGTGACGTAGTTGACCACGTATCTCTTCTGAAAAAGGGAGCATTTGTACAGTATTTTCAAGGATTGGTTTTTTCAAGTGAACTCAAACAACTCTATGCCGACCATAAGGTAGTTGGAACGTAAGGAAACCATCGACAAGGACGAAAGGAAAGTCCCCGTCCCCAGTAGCGACAAAGCAAAAGGCTGATTTGTGGGCGGGATTAATGGCGTTGGGCGGGGTTAGTGCTGTGCCCGAATGCTTTAGATCCTCGGCCTTGTCAAATCATCTCGACATTTGTGTACGTGCCGCCCCCACTTGCGAACTACTGCATTTTTCTCGGGGCAAAGCATGAACTGAACCAGAAATCCCGGACCTTGCCCTTAAGTTCCCCCATATCTAGATGCTTCAGATTGTTCAAGTCCATCCGGTAACCTTGAGTGTTGGACAGCAGGCTCATGTCACGGCGGAACTTGCGGAGGCCCTGGGAACAGCTGCAAGTGGCATGTGTGTGACGCCGCTTGCGGCGCCCGTTTGCCGCGTGGTGGGCCTCCTGACCGACAATTGCAAGGACTCACTCTTCGATGTGAGCGACTCGAATAGATGCCGGTACTGCTGGTATTATGCTTTGGAACACGTACTTTAGAATGAAGACCATATTCTGTAAAGGATTTTTTTTGCATTACATTCGAATCGGTTCATATTTGTCATTTCCACTTACCGACTAGTGCATAATTTCTGAACAGATTACTTTAACTGCTATGCACTGTTGCTTGAGCTCATCCCGTACGC